GACTCTTATCTTTTCAACAATTAGTCAATACTTTTTATTATAGCCCCGGAAGTGTTTTAAATGGCTCCGTCCTTTACCTGCTCAGGCCAGCCCTGTGCTCGGTGATGTCAATCTCCTCGGCTGTATCATGCGCCATGTGTAAACACGTTGTTTTTTCACCGAGAAAGCTGCAGTGTCCTTCGCTGCAATAATAATCCTCGCATTTGATACAGCGCCTGATCACGTCTTCGAGATGTCTCAAAGCGCTTCGCAGAATAGGCTGTCAAGTGAATTGATTGTGTATTGTGTGGGCGAAACGCGGCAGCCGATTGCAATTCCCGGGTGGGGCGAAACATTGGTTAAGTTTCCTTGCTCCACACGCCTCTGTTTGCCTAGCGGTAAGTAGGAACCCGGGGGTTAGTCGATTGACGGATCGTTTTGCTGGGGGTAATAATCCCTTCCAAAAAAAAATCACAATAATAATGATAATCTGGTGGCTTAATCCCCGACTGTTTCTGTGGGACGCCGCTGTGCACAATTGGCTGCCGCGTTTCGCCCACAAAATATACAGACAATTCACTTGGCCATATATATTGCGCGAGGGGCTTTGAGACGTCTCGGAAGTCGTGATAAGGCGCTGTAGGACAATGCGAGGATTGCTGTACTGTTAGAAGCTCCAAAACAACATTGCAGTGTTAAAAAGATCATTTGTTGGCAGAATATTTGCAACAATTGTGGTAACACACATCCTGGTCCAGACAAACACGCTCTGTTCGGATGAGCATTTTTCCGATCGTTTGATCTGTTTCCTTATTCCTGCTGTTCTTGCCGGAGTATTTTTTTCTCTCCCCCTCTCTCTCTCTCTCTCTCTCTCTCGACGGAATATATAAAGAGCTCTCTTTGTTGTGGAGCCAGGAGTCTTTCCAGGGGAAGGTCATGAGACCACCTCTGGGAGAGATCGCACACCAGTCGGTTCCGAGACTCTGGGGGGAGGGAGGAGGGAGGGAGGGAGGGGTGGTGGGGGGGGGTAGAAAAAAATACCTCTAGGTCAATGACACGTCGAGAGCACAGAGTCACGGTCTGCGCGTTTCCCTGTTGTCTCGTGGGCAGGTTTCAGGCTGCGATGTGTCCGCGGGGCGCTGTGAGACAGCATCTGCAGCGTGAGCTCATTCCTATGCTTCAGTGCGAGTGACCGCTGGGCTTGTGGGGAGGCTGGCGAGGACTTGAATCAGCATCACAGCTACTGAAAGGCAATGGCGTCCGTTCGCCCCTTTTAGAGGTCGGACGCTTTGAAGGACATGATTTTTCTGCCCCCCTCTCTCTCTCTCTCTCTCTCTCTCTCTCTGTCTCTCTCTCTCTCTCTCTTAACACGTGAGGACGTTGGTTTAAGGGTCAGACGCTCGGTCAAGCTTTTACGCCGATGCCTTTTTTCAAGAGGAACCGTTTCGGTTTCGCCTCGAGACCGGGATAAACCCGGAAAAGCCGCTCGAAAGAGTATTAAATCGCCGCCGAAGAAAGTGGCGATGTTTTAGATCGACATCACTGAGCGCCATTGGCCAAGGACACCGTTACCGGAGGAATGTTACTGTCCTGCTGAACAGCAGACAGGCGGGACCTTGGCTTTCGGTCAAGGCAGTGCTCCTCAGCTCCCCCTCTCCCCCCCCCATCCCACCGTCTAGCCGCTAGTGGGTTGGGGACTAAGCAGGTCAGAGAGGTGGGGAGGTGCCAGGGCCCGAAGGGATTTCAAGACGAGTGGGAGGATCTCAAAACCGTTTGCGTTCGGTTCGGTGACAAGGAACCGGTGGAGCCTGGCGAGGACTGGCGTGATGGGGCTACGGAGTTTAGTGCAGATCAAGTGGGTATCTTGTGGATATCCTGCAGCTCAGTGGTTAGAGCGCTCACCTCGCAAGCAAGAGACCTGGGTTCGATTTCCCGGGCGGGAACCTCGGGCAAGTTTCCTTACACCACACACAGACGCACGCACACGCTTGATAATAATCCCTCAAGAAAAAAATCAATGATAATTTGCTTACTCCACACGCCTCTGTTTACCTCGCAGGTCACGCAATCTACGGTTGTTTGTGGGGGGACGCCGCCGTGCGCAATTGGCTTTTCCTACGTTTCGCCCACAAAACACACAGTCAATTCACATGACAGTGTATCCTGTGAAGCGCTTTGAGACGTCTCGAAGACGTGATAAGGCGCTGTGCCAAATGCAAGGATTGCATGAGCAGTGAAAGCATCGAGGGATGTGGGGAAAGGAGCTGGAGAGCGGGGACGTCAGTTTAAAAAAAAAAGACTTGGCAATAAACGGAGCTACAGACACGATGGACCGAATGACCTCCCCCCCCCTCCCACCCTCCCACCTGTGCTGAGAAGGTCTATTGCTGTAAGCCTGGTCATTGATGTAGAACGTTGTGCCAGTCGCTGCCGCCTTGGGGCCATATTCAACCCATTGACGGTGTGTGTGTGTGTGTTGTGTGTGTATAAAAAAAAATCTGTGTGTCTCGAAGCCAAGTTAAATAGGTCGCGATGTCTGAGCTCTTTTGGCTCGGAGCCCGGGTTGAAAGTTCAGGGAAGAATTCACGAGATCACGAGAAGTTCGGGTGAAGACATTCCCAATTAGCATTTCCGACGCTTTTCATCAAGTCACTCGTGAATTTCCGTTCATCTTACCCTCCTCCACACCCCCTTCCCTCCCTTGCCCGCTGAGCCCCTCCCTCCCTTCCTTCCCCTCCAGCCCGCCTCCCTCCCTTGCCCTCCACCCCTCTCTGATCCCAAACCCATAGATCGGGTGCAAACCCCTCGTTGTCCAGCGCCTTGGGCAGCGATATAAATGCAAGTTGTTGTGTCATTCCCCCTTCTGAGTGGTCTAGCGTCAGGTAACCCAAAGTTTATCGACTGTTCCTTTCAGCTTATCCCCCTGGTAATGGGTAGCAGGCAGATTGCCCTCTACACTGCCATTCACTTCCTTCCCTTCCATTCTCAGTTCCATTTGGTGGGAAGGGGAGGAAGGGGGCTGTGTTGGAGTGGGGGTTTAAGGGGAAAAATGAAGGCGTGCGGGTGTGGGTAATAAGAACTGCTGAGTTTTCCCCTGCTAGCTGTGGCCTGTGTGCGATTTAACGGACAGATTACAGGCTTGCGAGACGACAAAACAGCCTGTGTTTGCACGTTCCTTGTTGATATCCCGGAGCAAATTTTTCAGGATTGGGCGTGAGCTACAAAGAGCTTTCTATGTGCAATTTAAAGTCTGCGAATGCATCCTGCCAAAGCCCACGTGTGGACTTTGCGGAAAACTCGAAACATATACACATCTCTCTATCTCTCTCTCTCTTCTCTCTCTCTCTCTCTACGTTGTCTGCTGCGGGAGGGATTTTCCTTGCACCAAAAAAAACCCAGGGAATTTCAGGAGTGTTGGGTAGGAAAAGCCTACTTCTCCTCTTACTTCACAGGTCGTTCCTTACTGTGGTTGGCTCAAAGCCAGTCTGTGTGGTGTGGAGCTGTAGGAGTCTGTGAGGAGTGATAATAATAATCATCAAGAGTATTGGAACCAAATGATTTTTTTTAATCAGAACTGCCAAGGCCTTCGTGAGCTTGCCATTTCTTTTTAACCATTGAACGTCTTTGGAGATGAGAGTTGTTGGAGAGCGATAAAAATATAACGAGGGGAATCATTTTCGAATGCTCTCTGGGGACTGACTTGACTGATTGTTAACGGTTGCCCCCCCCCCCTCCATCCCATTTCCCCCTCCACCCCTCCACCCCCCCCCCCCCCCTCCCCACCCCCTCCTCCTGACATCTAACCCCAACTCTCAGCCAGAATCGAGAGACTTTGTATTGGAATCTATACGTCATTTAAACAGCTCCGTGTGTGTGGCTTGCTTGCCAGGTTGCATTTTCGTTAAGAGTCGCGATGCTAAAAAGGTGGAATTGAAAACGCACGTTGCTTTAACGGGGGGAATTAGCTTGGTGTTTTAGGGCAGGGATTTGTCCCACTCGGCCCCAGCTAACCCAGAGAGCCAGAGCCCTAACAGGTAGGATGTTCCCGGCTGGACAACACAGCCCTCTCGACGGCAAAACTGTGCGGTTTTTAATCTGCCAACTCTGAGGTCCCCCCCAAGCCTTGGCTCCCACCAACCTGTGCCTGGATACCCTCTGGATTTAGGTCAGGAGGGTGAGTCCATCAAGGGAGGGAGAGGGAGAGAGTGCGCATTTCCATTCCAGACACAGGGAAATTTTCCACGTGTCGGTGACAAATTCACGTGGATCTCAGTCTGGTTTGGATACTCTGAAGCGATGGGTTTCTGCATGTGTTTGCGGGCCGGTTGACCAAAATACAAATGGCTCGCAGGCGCAAGCTCGATGCTGACGCCCAGTGTCACTTAGGGAACCATTTGTCTTTTCCTGGCTGAATGCGCGTCCTCGGTTGCACCACTCGTGGGCTTAGCCCCGGGTTGTCTCACCCCTGGGGCATTGTATCTGCATCAGTACGGCTCAGTCGGTGGCAACTCTCGAGTTGCGTTGTTTGGAAGTGCCGTTTTTTTCGGATATAACGTCCCGTCTTCCTGCTCAGGTTAGGCTTCGAAAGATCCCACGGCACGGTTTGAAATGAGAAGGGAGTTCCTCTCTCCCAGTGTCCTGGTCAACAAATCCCACCTCCTCCCTCCCTCCCGCCCCCCCCCGCCCCGTCCCGCCCCGCGCCCCCGCCTCTCCCCCCCACAAATAAAATTGGTCGTGGCTGTTTGGGGGGACGGGTGGGGTTGGGAGGGGTGGAAGAGACCGCTGTGGGGCAAACTGGCTGCCACGTTGGCTTGCGGAACACACGGTAAATTCTGTAAAACAGGCGAAGCCGAGTCGTGAAAAGGCGCTGTGTCAAATGCAAGGATTCTGACTATTATTTATTGTTTTTTGGCCTTGTATCTGGGCAATGTTCCTCTGAATAACCCAGTTTTTTTCTTTTGTTTTTTTTTGTGTGCGTGTGCGTGTGCGTGCGTGTGCGTGTGTGCGTGTGCGTGAGATAGAATCGCGGACGCTTGGCAGAAAAGAGGACAATCCCCTTGCCGCCAACAAGATTACCTAAGAAAGAGCTGTCCTCCGCGTTTACAAATAGTGAAGATAGTGAAGAGAGCGAAAAGGCAAATGGTGACCGGCCTCCTGAAGTAAAACAGGAAGAAGAGATTCAGGCTTTCACAATGAAAAGAAGGTAACCCCCCTTTTAATCTGCGTCCACGTGGCTCACTGCAGAGATTGGCGAGGCTGCTTCTGCAAATCGATCGATGCATGTTGAATCCCTCTCTCTCGTTAGGGATAATTGGAGATGGGCGGGCGGGCGGGCGAGCTGTGTGTGGGGGGGGGGGGGGGGGAGGATGGGGGCCTGGAGTTGGGTGGAGGGGTGGGGGCACGTGCGAGGAGTGGGCTGGCTGCCACCGTTATACCCGTCTCCCGCGTACGATGTACTTGTCTTCAGCTGCGACGCCAGGCGGAATTGGTGATGCAGTGGGGAAGGGAATGTGTGTGAGTGTGTGTGTCTGTATGTGTGAATGTGTGAGTGTGTGTGTGTATGTGTTTTTGCAGGGCGGGAGAGTGGGGATGGGGGGGTTGGGGAGGGTGGTGGTGGTGGGGTGGTGAGAACTCTGGTCAGGCACTGGGGGCGAAGAGGAAAAGCGGAGGGATTGAAGCAAAAGGGGTTCAAGGCGTAGCCCGACACCAATGGGGGAAGGTGACCGACCGTAAGCACGGTCGAAGAGGAAGGTCTTCAAGCGTGATCTAAAAGTGGGGAAGGACAGGGCGAGACGGGGGGATTGAGGGAGGGCGAGAGCTCCAAAGTTTTGGGGGATAGTGGCCGGAAAGCACAGCCTCTAATTTGGAGTGGAAGGTGTGGGGGGAGAGGGGGGGGTGCGGGGGCGTGAGGGGAGTACAGAAGGCCTGAGCCGGCTGAGCGAAGTGGGTGGGGGTTTTACTCACACTGCGTCCAAAGGAATAATGATTCGACCAAAACACAGCGCGCGGTACGTGTGCAGACACGGTTCAGGTTTCGACGGGATGCGTCTGACCAGATAGCTTGCGAGCAGAACGCCGCTGAATCTTAGACGATCAATGATCGAAACATTTTGCAAGCCCTGGGCCGAATCATTTATCTGGGAAGCAATTCAAGAAATCCAAGATTGTTCCAAATGATGAAATGTCTCGCTCCCAGAGGCCTGTTCTAGGTTCAGGTAACACTGTAATGCTGAGTAACTAATGGGTTATGATCACAATTTCCAAAGATTTTCACGGAGAAGTTGGGCAATTGGATACAGCTTCCCTGAATTTGCGGACACCCTCCATTTAAAACCGGGTTGGGGGGTGGGGGGGGCGGGGGGCGGGGGCTCGGTTTGGACTGTGCTAAGTATCCTCCTCGTGTGCTGAAACCCTCACGAATACTTGAACCAACGCCCCATCGTTGTCTGTTTCAGATTGGGTCAATGCCTTGAGCTGGGGGCTGGGGGCTGGGGGGACGTGGGCAAATGCGGGGGGGAGGGGGCGTAAAATGGGGGGGTGGGGCTGCCTTTGTGGTGAAAGAGGGTTTTGCTGCTTTCAAATGTAATTTGTTGTTGTTGTCGTCGTCGTCGTTGCTCACTTCTCCTTGCCTCATTCGTTGAGTTGGCCACAGTGTGGAACGGAATGAGTTTGGGACGTGGATTAAAAACGCGATAAAATTCTGAAATTATAACGATAATAATCCTTGCGTTTGATGCAGCGCCTTATCGCGTCGTCGAGGCGTCTCAAAGCGCTTCGCAGAATACACCGTAAAGTGTAGTGACTGCGTGTCTTGCGGGTTTCCAGACGCAGGCGCCAGTTGCGCACAGCAGCGTCCCCGCAAACAGTCGTGGATTGAGCGAGCGAATTATTATTTTTTCAACAAAATTCTTTGGAGGGGTTATTACCTTCAAATCTCGGTCGTTTCGGGACAAGAGGGACGAGGGTGCATGTGGTTGTGGCGAGGTGGGAGGGAGTGGGGAGGGAGGGAGGGAGGGAGACGATACTTTAGAAGGTGTTTCGATTGCACTGTACGCACCCACCCCAAAAAAAAATCTGCTGTTACACAGTGCAGACTGGAATTGAGCCAAATTGTCAGGAAGCTGCATTGATCTAATGAGGATTAAGAGCCAATGCTTAAAGGAAATGGCGAGTTATATTCCAGCAATAATGCAGTATTAAAATGACAAACAGCCAGACAATAGACCCTCTTTAACAAAGAATGGCTGGCGATGAGTAATAAAAGTGGCTGTGCCGGAGGAAAGTTTTTTTTTATTATTCCCCCCCCCCAAAAATATTTTTTTAATGATTCTTGGCCAGAAAACCCAACAGCTTGAGTGCTTTGCTTTGCGGCCTTCGTGAAAACCCCGAAATGTTTTTTTAAAAAAAATAAATAAAAATCGGGCCGCGACTGTGTGGGAGACATTGCCGTGCGCGATTGGCTGCTGCGTTTCGCCCACAGAAGTACGCAGTCACTCCGCTTCACAGTATATTCTGTGAAGCGCTTTGAGACGTGTCGATGACCTGATTAAGTAGCTATATCGAATAATAATAATAATAATATACGCATTTGATATAGCGCCTCATCACGACTTCGAGACGTTTCAAAGGGCTTCACAGGAATCGGTGTAAAGTGAATTGACGGCGCATTTTGTGGGCGAAATACAAGGATTATTATTATAATTAAGTTTTTAAAACCAGGGAGGCCTTGGATGGTTTGGAAAAGTGCGTGTGTGGGGGGCGGGGGGGGTCGGGATGGGGTAGGAGAGAGGATTCAATGCGTTATTAAAAATTTCTCGCTCTCGCTTATGACTTATTGCTTGTTCCTACATCGAAAGCATTTGACTGCTCCCACTCCCCCCCCCACTCCTCCCTCCTTCCTCCCCGCCCTGTTAAATCATCCCTAAGTGGCCATTATTCAACCATCAGCCTTGACAGGCTGGTCGTCAGACTATTGAACCGTGGTTCGGGGGAAAAGAAAGGGGCCGTCACACACTGAATTTCACCAGACGGAAATATGGAAAATCCTCTAATCCTGTGTCTGCGAAGGAGGGGAGAGGAGATGTGTGTGTGTGTGTGTATGTGTGGGTGGGTGGGTGGGTGGGTGGGGGATGGGGGTGTGAGGGGGTGGGGGGTGTCAGCCATGAGATAACCGGATCCAGACAGAATCCTGCCTTCCCCATTACAATAATCCTTGTTATGATGATGATGATAGTAATAATAGTAATAACACTAATGCTTGCGTTTGTCCCAGCGCCTCATCACCTAGTTCAGACGTCTCAAAGCGCTTCACAGGACGCGCTTGTAAAGTGGAGTGACTGTGCGATTTGCAGTCCCCGCGTTCCGTTCGACGTCTCGAAGGGCTTTGGCGACTTGACGTCTCACCTGAAGGACAGCGCCTTTGATAGCGGCGGTGCTCTGCACCAAACCGGTGCCAGCGCTCAAAGCCCTCGACGTGGGGTTCGAACCCCGTAAACGTCTGACTCGAGAGGCGAGAGAGCGCTACCCACTGAGCCCGGGGCCGCTGTCGGAGACACAGAGGAGCCGGCGAGCGAGCCAACCTCCATTGCCAAAGCATCGCTTGTTTTCTTTTCGGTCTCTCCTCCCCGCCCTCCCTCTCTCTCCTCTCTCTCTCTGCCTTCCCTCAAGGCATTCTCAGTGTGCTTGCTCTCTGATTAACACAACTCGGGGTTGCAGGGTTCAAAGCCGAGAGCAGATCTCTCTCTCGCTCTCTCTCTCTCTCTCTCTCTCTGCAAAAGGTATTCCCACACACATGTGCTTTCGAGTTGCTACAGAACGATTTTGAGTGTGGGAGTTAGCTCACAAATCTCTCTCGCTCCCTCCGTCTCTTCCGGCTAAATGACTTTAAGCTTGCGTTAGTGGAAGTCTTAATATTTTTTAAAAGCCGGGGAGGTGGGGTGGGGGTCTGTGGGGTTAAGGGTGGGAGCGGAGAGGAATAGGGGCGGAGGTGGGGGAGTAAAACTGGGCCAAGACTGTAATAAGAAACATCGCTTTTCAGTAGTTGCCAGTGCTTTTATTCCCCCGATATTGCTTCTGGTTTTAAACGCCTGCCACCCCTCCCCTCCCCACCCCTCCCCTCCCCTTCACAGCTCCCCTTCGTGCGTTTAGTGTGCCCTGTGCTCCTGCCAAGTTGTGGCCAGTGGGGGTTTTAACTTGGCTCCTGCGGATTGTGTAGCAATCTGCCAGCGAAGTGCACTGTGAATTTTTTCTTCTTCTTCCTCTACCTCTTTCTATCTCTCTCTCTCTCTCTCTCTCTCTCTCCATCCCCGACCTCTTCTCGACTCCATTCACCGCCAACAAGGCTGAGACGTGCCATTTGCTGACCAGTGAAAAGGTCTCTGGGGGTACGGGTTAGCTGCTAGCAAGAGAGGCGTTCAATGATAATAATATTAATGATAATGATAATAATCCTTGCATTTGATCCCCTCAAAACATTCACACACACACCTTTACACACACACACGAACGCATACACACAGACACGACCCGCGCGCACACAAAACATACACGCAGGCCCACACGCAAACACATCTACCCACGCGGACACACAGATTCACATGCACACATACGCAAGAGCTGCAGACGATCTCACGCGCTCCGGGACCTTACCCTGGTCCCTTAGGGGAGCTGAGAGCAATCCTAGAGACTGACTATTTGCCCTGGTCGAGGACAGCCAACTCCACGCACACGCACAGCCGTGAGTTTCTTGGTTGTCTGGCTTCAACCCGTGTGCCGAGTCAAAACTCGCACATGCGTGTGCGTGCCTGTGCGCGTGTGTGGTGATTCTGTCGCCGGAGATACTTTTTGAACACGTCGCATTTTTCCCTTGAATGAGTCAGGACCTGCAGACAGTGGAGGAGGAGTGGGAGGAGGAGGATGAGATCTTGATGTAACCAGACGTGATAGAAAATAATGAGGGAGGTGGATTATATACACCGCTGCACTCGCCGTTAAGTGTAGGCTGGAGCTGACGAGTTAGTGTTTCATTCCACCCGAGGTGGTGTGATGTTTTTTGTGCAATTCATTGCTTCACGAACCGTGTCATCCGTTTAATGTAAAAAATATCTGGGGGGGAAAAAAAAAAGCTGGTAATCACTTAATCGTCCCTTAATGCAGCGTAAATGCCTTTGATGTCTTGCCCAGTAACAAGACTGGGGAAATATC